AACAGTGTTAGGAGGGTTCCCTTTACATCACAGCCTGGCCAGCATTTGTAGTTCATCTTTTCAATCTTTAGTCATTTGAACTGGGGTTAAATGGTATCTCATTGTGCTTTGATTTGCATTTTCCTTATGATAAGAGATGTTGCGGGACCAGCAGGTCACGTGGTGGCTAAGGTGCTGGACACTCCCACATGGCTGACTACAGTTCAAGTCCTGGATCTGTGGCTTGCTTTCTCACTTTCTCTCTCTCTCTGGCAGCTTGCTTCCTCACTTTCCCTTTTGCTCTCTCTGTCTCTATTCAAATAAAAAATAACAAATGGAATTAAATAAATAAATATTTTTTAAAAAGAGAGATGTTGCACATTTTCGATACACCTTTTGTCATCCATTATGTCTTTCTTGGAAAATTGTCCTTTCAGCTCATTTGCTCATTTTTTAACAGGAATTTTTTTGGGGAGGAGTAAATGGCTTGATTCTCATATATTCTGATTATCAGTCCCTTATCTGAAGCATAGTTTTCAAATGTTTTCTCCCATTTTGAGAGTTGTCTCTTCACTCTAATTATTGTTTCCTTTGCTGTGTAGAGGCTTTTTGGACTGATGTAATCCCACTTGTCTATTTTTTGCCTACTCCAATGTCTTCCAGAGTTTCCTCTGTGCTTTCCACCAGTAGTCTCATATTTTGAAGGTTTACATTTAGATCTTTGTCGATTTAATTTTTGTAATTGTAAGAGATAGTAGTCCAGTTTCATTTTTCTGCAGATGGTTATCCAATTCTTCCAGCACCATTTGCTGAAGAGGCTTTCTTTTCCCCCATTGGATTATCTTGTGTCCTTTATCAAAAATCAGTTGGCTATATGTTTTGGGGTTTATTTCTGGGTTCTCTATTCTGTTCCACTGTTCTATGTACAGGTTTTTATGCCAGTATTATGCTGTTTTGATTATCACAGCTTTGTAATATATTTGGAATTAAGAAAATGAGATGTCTCCTACTTCATTCTTTATGTCTGGTATTGCTTTGGCCATATGGAGGTCTCATATTTTAATCCCATCTTTACACAAATGTTTTAAAGTCCCCTGGTTTACTGGGCTTACAGTGTGATTTTAAAACTGCCAGAACAAAACAAACAAAACCCCCTGACTCTAGGCCCAGCTTAGGTGGCATAGTTGGTGGCATGCCAGACTGCAGTGATGGAAGCTACACGACCAATTTCTGGTTAGCATCCCCAACCCAGCTGACTTGGGCACACATGTCCAAGATCCTGAGGAGGTAGAGAACTGGAAAACAGTGATCGTGGTATGATGAGATACTATGGAAAGTGCTCCTCTCTTGCACACACATATCATTATTAAAAGTAAAATTTTTTAAAACTTCAAAATCCACTAAAAAAGGAAACAGTAAAAAGTTTCGGTAATCTAAATAAGTAAAGAACCATAGCCTTATAGAAACAGTCAAGGTTCCATTTACATACATACCTAAATTTCCTTGGCTCAGTATCCTTACTAGCATTAATGTAAAACTTTTAAAACAAATACCACTCTAAAGTTAACCAGTTATTTCTGGGGTGGCCCAGGTGCTCAAAAAGTTCCTTAGTGTTCTATCATTGATTTCCTCTCTATACAACACACATTGAAGACAATGCCTGACCACTGATAGCATCTTTCTTGAAAGCACTGCCTCATCCAATGTGGATACAGTCTTCTAATGCTTATCCTCCTAAACAGTGCTGCCTTTCTTTTTTTCTAAGAACCACACCTATGTTGTTCACAAAGAGACCTTTCCCTCCACAGGATTCAAACCGAATTTATAGGGTAGCTACCATATACTGACATACATCTTCCCAGTTCTTTATTTTCTTACCTCCAAGTAACCCAACATAAAACTACCTCCCTTACCTCTCATGTCTCTTTCCC